TATAAGAAATTATATATATATATATATATATATATATATATTTGTCACAAAAAAAATATTTCTTAAGAGTACATAGTTTTCATTTTAAAGGATTTGGTATATTTCTTATTTGCACATCTCTTATATATTGTCTTAAATATGATTGTTTTGGTTTAAGCAAGAAGTATAACTCTTTTTTATTAAGTCGGTCTCTATAAAAATAAAGTGATATATTTGATTAAGACTTTGTACCTAAGTATGATCGAACCCTAGGTTCTTGATTAAAGAGACCAAATGTCAAATAACATTTTTGATAATTATATTGTATTGAATATCTAAAGTATGGAAAAAGGTCAAATATGCAAAACTAAGGGGAAAAAAAAGTTAAAGGAAGTGGAAATGGAGCAAGGTCCATGAATTAGAGGTGATCATGACTTATCTTGTCCCACCAACCTAGCCTTAGTACTTGAAGGAGTTATTACGGATTTGAGTTTAATAAATTAGACCATAGATATTTTAAGGATGAGTTTGGATTGTACTTTAGGTTATTTCAACTAAATCTAATTAAAGTTGTATATTCTTAAAAAAAAAAATCAAGTATGATTTTCAAAAAAGGTATGTATTAATAATATATCTTCTAGAGTTAATAAATTATGTTTTGACTAAGATGTTATAGTATTAATATTGATATTATTTATCTTAAAAACACATATATATATATATATATAATAAAATGTATCTTAATGGTAGATTTTAATTGTAGGTATATGTTATTTTTTTAAATTCTATGATTTAACTATATATATGTGTTATAATTAATATGTTATCTCAATAAGTTGGGTTAACTAAAACTGTCCTAAATACTAATAAGTCTTGATCTATTGGGTTCAAATTCACAAAATGGACCCTAACAAAATTTTATTGGATAAGAATATACATAAATTCATCCCAACCATTCCACAAACACTCCTATGATGATGAAGTCCTTTATGTTCACAATGAATGAAATAAATGCATTTGTTAGATACTTATGTAAACACAATCGATGATTTAGTAGATAAGGATGTATAAGAATAGAAGTGTCATGTATTATAACTTGATGGCCATGTTGGTTAAGAGATTGAAGGTGACTTTATTTTTAAATGTTTTAAATGGAAAGGAGTGACACTAGTTAATACTCTTTAATTATAAGTAATTATCTAATAAATTATCTTGTGGTAATGGAATATTTTTAGATTTTTTAAACAAAATTATAAATGGAAGGTTAACACTAGTGTGTAGAACATTTTTTATGATAGTTAAAATAGATTTTCTATGTTGGTTCTAGACCCATCATAATTTTTGGTGATATAGAAAGTTTTAACTTTCTATATCGATTATAAAAATAACTGACATAAAAAACTTTTTTATATTAATTATTACTTCTTTGTCACACTTTTTTTCTATCTTATTATCACATATTCTCTTGTTTTGCCACCACCACTTTGGTTTTCACATCATTTTCACATCGTCTTCCACTACCATGTTTGCCATTACCATATTGTCACTTCCACCACCACATTCACCATTATTAGAAAATATGATTATTTCAAGAGAGGGATGAATTGAATTTACAAAAATTATTTTTGACTTTTCTTGGATAAAAACTTTTCTAAGTATTTTAAACTTAACCAATTGGTCTGAATTACAGTGGAATGAATGTTTAGAAAATTAGTCAATGCAAGTCTGAATTAAAATGCCTTACATGTTATGCTTTTAATACAATATATAGATTAACCAACATGCATTCAAATTAATTAAACAAGTAAAAATTTAAGTAAGAGTAAGATAAACTTGCACAAAAATTTATATTGGTTCAGCTACCTCTATTATGACCTATATCTAGAAACTTTACAATCACAAATAACATGCAATACACTTGAACCAAAATTAAAGAAACCACTTCTTGAACCCCAAAAAGTAACTTTTGTAGAATCCCACAATAAGAAACCTTTCATTCTTGAGAAACCTATTCAAGAACACTTCTACCTTGAGAAACCAACTCAAGAAACACAAAAAGAAGAAGAAGAAGAAGAAGAAGGAGGAGGAGGAAATATATCACCTAATGTACATAACGATATGAACAAGTAAAAAAGACTAAATCATTCGGCCTCAATTCATGTAGATTGACAATGATGATTTAACTCTATTCATTCATGCTAAAAGTTCCCATAAAGGATAAAACACCTCTCTTATCAAGAAAACTTATTTAAAAGCTCACTCAATTATTTAGAATTCATA